AGACTACACTATAGATTTAAGTAGACAGTAGTAACTAGACTATGGAATATGCATTAATAAAAGATTTTCTTAAAAAAACTGCACCTACTTTATCTTAAAATTCTTTGGAATAAAAATAAATCCTTTCGTATAATCTCACCCACAATAAAAACAAACAAATTCAACCATCGCCGCTGCACTATTATCAGATAAATTATAGATACACTCGTAAATAAATCTTAATTCTTAATCTTACCCTTTGAGGTGCATTCAATAAACGCAAGATGGTGCCCAATTGTGTGGCCAATGGCAGGGTGGCGGCAAAGGCATACGTTGGTGCTCGTGTTGGTATGGGATACATTGATGTACAATCGAGTGGATCAGTATCGACAAGATACTGCACCCGAAACGTAATCAATTCATCGGGATCCATTTTAACAATCATATTGTTAAAACAAACACTTGAACACACTCAAACACACATAACACGTTTAAGTGTTTCTTTTTATTTTTTGCAAACTTATTTTTTCTTTCTTTACTTCTCTTTAAATAACAACGATTAAGATTTTAGATAAATAAATTATTTTTTACATTTATAGCGTTTTTTTGTGGTTTGCAATTTAAAATTGGTTGGTCTTATTTTTAAAGATTTCACACACAAATTATTACATGTTTAAAATTTGTTTATCGTTGTCGTAAATTTTATGGGTTGGGTATTTAAATTACATTTATATTTTATAAATATAAGACACACTGTAAAAGAAAAATACAATTAAAAGTTAATTTCAGTTTTAAGGAAAGTTGCATAAATATTTATCCTTTAAATTGTTACCAGGTTTGCAGAGAAAGGAAGCGATGATTTTGTATTGTTAAACATAATTTTAAACGCTTTTTATAAAACCTTGCTGATCAAAAACTCACATAAGGGGGTCTTAGTCTATAGACAATACTAGTATATAGACTAACTATAGAATAGAATTTAGACTTGACTATAATCTGGATTATAGATCTATAGACTATATGACTATAGACTAGACTATAGACTATATGACTATAGACTAGACTATAGACTAGACTATAGACTAGACTATAGACTAGACTATAGACTAGACTATAGACTAGACTATAGACTAGACTATAGACTAGACTATAGACTAGACTATAGACTAGACTATACACTAGATTATATAATGGATTATAGACTAGACTATAGACCAGACTATAGAGTAGACTATAGGCTAGACTATAGACTAGACTATACACTAGACTATATACTAGACTATAGACTAGACTATAGACTAGACTATAGACTAGACTATAGACTAGACCTAGACTAGACTAGACTAGACTATAGACTAGACTATAGACTAGACTATAGACTAGACTATAGACTAGACTATAGAGACTATAGACTAGACTAGGCTAGACTATAGACTATACTATAGACTAGACTATAGACTAGACTATAGACTAGACTATAGACTAGACTATAGACTAGACTATAGACTAGACTATAGACTAGACTATAGACTAGACTATAGACTAGACTATAGACTAGACTATAGACTAGACTATAGACTAGACTATAGACTAGATTATAGACTAGACTAGACTATAGATAGTCTAGACTATAGACTAGACTATAGACTAGACTATAGACTAGACTATAGACTAGACTATAGACTAGACTATAGACTAGACTATAGACTAGACTATAGACTAGACTATAGACTAGACTATAGACTAGACTATAGACTAGACTATAGACTAGACTATAGACTAGACTATAGACTAGACTATAGACTAGACTATAGACTATACTAGACTAGACTAGACTAGACTATAGACTAGACTATAGACTAGACTAGACTAGACTATAGACTAGACTATAGACTAGACTATAGACTAGACTATAGACTAGACTATAGACTAGACTATAGACTAGACTATAGACTAGACTATAGACTAGACTATAGACTAGACTATAGACTAGACTATAGACTAGACTATAGACTAGACTATAGACTAGACTATAGACTAGACTATAGACTAGACTATAGACTAGACTATAGACTAGACTAGACTAGACTTAGACTAGACTATAGACTAGACTATAGACTAGACTATAACTAGACTATAGACTAGACTATAGACTAGACTATAGACTAGACTATAGACTAGACTATAGACTAGACTATAGACTAGACTATAGACTAGACTATAGACTAGACTATAGACTAGACTATAGACTAGACTATAGACTAGACTATAGACTAGACTATAGACTAGACTATAGACTAGACTATAGACTAGACTATAGACTAGACTATAGACTAGACTATAGACTAGACTATAGACTAGACTATAGACTAGACTATAGACTAGACTATAGACTAGACTATAGACTAGACTATAGACTACTATTAGACTAGACTATAGACTAGACTATAGACTAGACTATAGACTAGACTAAGACTAGACTATAGACTAGACTATAGACTAGACTATAGACTAGACTATAGACTAGACTATAGACTAGACTAACTAGCTAGACTATAGACTAGACTATAGACTAGACTATACTAGACTAGAGACTAGACTATAGACTAGACTATAGACTAGACTATAGACTAGACTATAGACTAGACTATAGACTAGACTATAGACTAGACTATAGACTAGACTATAGACTAACTATAGTCTGTCTATAGACTACTATAACAGACTAGCTAGTCTAATCTAGTCTATAGTCTAGTCTATAGTCTAGTCTATAGTCTAGTCTATAGTCTAGTCTATAGTCTAGTCTATAGTCTAGTCTATAGTCTAGTCTATAGTCTAGTCTATAGTCTAGTCTATAGTCTAGTCTATAGTCTAGTCTATAGTCTAGTCTATAGTCTAGTCTATAGTCTAGTCTAGTATCTAGTCATAGTCTAGTCTATAGTCTAGTCTATAGTCTAGTCTATAGTCTAGTCTATAGTCTAGTCTATAGTCTAGTCTATAGTCTAGTCTATAGTCTAGTCTATAGTCTAGTCTATATCTAGTCTATAGTCTAGTCTATAGTCTAGTCTATAGTCTAGTCTATAGTCTAGTCTATAGTCTAGTCTATAGTCTAGTCTATAGTCTAGTCTATAGTCTAGTCTATAGTCTAGTCTATAGTCTAGTCTATAGTCTAGTCTATAGTCTAGTCTATAGTCTAGTCTATATCTAGTCTATAGTCTAGTCTATAGTCTATCTATAGTCTAGTCTATAGTCTAGTCTATAGTCTAGTCTATAGTCTAGTCTATAGTCTAGTCTATAGTCTAGTCTATAGTCTAGTCTATAGTCTAGTCTATAGTCTAGCTATAGTCTAGTCTATAGTCTAGTCTATAGTCTAGTCTATAGTCTAGTCTATAGTCTAGTCTATAGTCTAGTCTATAGTCAGTCTATAGTCTAGTCTATAGTCTAGTCTATAGTCTAGTCTAGTCTAGTCTCTAGTCTAGTCTATAGTCTAGTCTATAGTCTAGTCTATAGTCTAGTCTATAGTCTAGTCTATAGTCTAGTCTATAGTCGTCTATAGTCTAGTCTATAGTCTATATAGTCTAGTCTATAGTCTAGTCTATAGTCTAGTCTATAGTCTAGTCTATAGTCTAGTCTATAGTAGTCTATAGTCTAGTCTATAGTCTAGTCTATAGTCTAGTCTATAGTCTAGTCTATAGTCTAGTCTATCTAGTCTATAGTCTAGTCTATAGTCTAGTCTATAGTCTAGTCTATAGTCTAGTCTATAGTCTAGTCTATTCTAGTCTATAGTCTAGTCTATAGTCTAGTCTATAGTCTAGTCTATAGTCTAGTCTATAGTCTAGTCTCTATCTATACTATAGTCTAGTCTGTAGTCTAGTCTATAACTAGTCTATAGTCTAGTCTATAGTCTAGTCTATAGTCTAGTCTATAGTCTAGTCTATAGTCTAGTCTATAGTCTAGTCTATAGTCTAGTCTATAGTCTAGTCTATAGTCTAGTCTATAGTCTAGTCTATAGTCTAGTCTATAGTCTAGTCTATAGTATAGTCTATCTCTAGCCTATAGTCTAGTCTATAGTCTAGTCTATAGTCTAGTCTATAGTCTAGTCTATAGTCTAGTCTATAGTCTAGTCTATAGTCTAGTCTATAGTCTAGTCATGGTCTAGTCTATATCTAGTCTATAGTCTAGTCTATAGTTAGTCTATAGTCTAGTATATAGTCTAGTGTATATCTAGTCTATAGTCTAGCCATAGTCTACTCTATAGTCTGGTCTATAGTCTAGTCTATAATCCATTATAATCTAGTGTATAGTCTAGTCTAGTCTAGTCTATAGTCTAGTCTATAGTCTAGTCTATAGTCTAGTCTATAGTCTATCTATAGTCTAGTCTATAGTCTAGTCTATAGTCTAGTCTATAGTCTAGTCTATAGTCATAGTCTAGTCTAGTCTATAGTCATATAGTCTATAGATCTATAATCCAGATTATAGTCAAGTCTAAATTCTATTCTATAGTTAGTCTATATACTAGTATTGTCTATAGACTAAGACCCCCTTATGTGAGTTTTGATCAGCAAGGTTTTATAAAAAGCGTTTAAAATTATGTTTAACAATACAAAATCATCGCTTCCTTTCTCTGCAAACCTGGTAACAATTTAAAGGATAAATATTTATGCAACTTTCCTTAAACTGAAATTAACTTTTAATTGTATTTTTCTTTTACAGTGTGTCTTATATTTATAAAATATAATGTAATTTAAATACCCACCCATAAAATTTACGACAACGATAAACAAATTTTAAACATGTAATAATTTGTGTGGAAATCTTTAAAAATAAGACCAACCAATTTTAAATTGCAAACCACAAAAAAACGCTATAAATGTAAAAATAATTTAATTATTATCTAAAATCTTAATCGTTGTTATTTAAAGAGAAGTAAAGAAAGAAAAAATAAGTTTGCAAAAAATAAAAAGAAACACTTAAACGTGTTTATGTGTGTTTGAGTGTGTTCAAGTGTTTGTTTTAACATAATGATTGTTAAAATGGATCCCGATGAATTGATTACGTTTCGGGTGCAGTATCTTGTCGATACTGATCCTCGATTGTACATCAATGTATCCCATACCACACGAGCACCAACGTATGCCTTTGCCGCCACCCTGCCATTGGCCACACAATTGGGCACCATCTTGCGTTTATTGAATGCACCTCAAAGGGTAAGATTAAGAATTAAGATTTATTTACGAGTGTATCTATAATTTATCTGATAATAGTGCAGCGGCGATGGTTGAATTTGTTTGTTTTTTTGTGTGGGTGAGATTATACGAAAGGATTTATTTTTATTCCAAAGAATTTTAAGATAAAGTAGGTGCAGTTTTTTTAAGAAAATCTTTTATTATGCATATTCCATAGTCTAGTTACTACTGTCTACTTAAATCTATAGTGTAGTCTACAGGGTAGTCTATAGCGTAGATTATAGCCTAGTATATAGTTTTGGTATGTAGTCTAGTCTATAGTCTAATCTATGGTCTAGTCTAGTTTGCAATCTAGTCTGCGGTCTAGCCTATAGTCTAGTCTATAGTTTAGTCTAAAGTTTAGTCTATAGTCTAGAGTCCAGTCTTGAGTCTAGTCTTGAGTTTAGTCTAGAGTCTAGTCTATATTCTATAATGTGTTTTATAGTGAAGTCTAGTCTAGTCTCAAGTCTAGGCTAGTCAAGTCAAGTTTAGTCTAGTCTATTGTCTAGTCTAGAGTCTAGTCTATAGTTTATAATGTATTTTATAGTGAAGTCTTAGTCTAGTCTAGTTTATAGTCTAGTCTAGTCTATAGTCTAGTCTATAGTCTAGTCTATAGTCCTAGTCTAAAGTCTAGTCTATAGTCTCAGTCTATAGTCTAGTCTATAGTCTAGTCTATAGTCTAGTCTATAGTCTAGTCTATAGTCTAGTCTAGTGTATAGTCTAGTCTATAGTCTAGTCTATAGTCCAGTCTATGGGCTAGTCTATAGTCTAGTCTATAGTCTAGTCTATAGTCTAGTCTATAGTCTAGTCTATAGTCTAGTCTATAGTCTAGTCTATAGTCTAGTCTATAGTCTAGTCTATAGTCTAGTCTATAGTCTAGTCATAGTGTAGTCTATAGTCTAGTCTATAGTCTATCTATAGTCTAGTCTATAGTCTAGTCTATAGTCTAGTCTATAGTCTAGTCTATAGTCTAGTCTATAGTCTAGTCTATAGTCTAGTCTATAGTCTAGTCTATAGTCTAGTCTATAGTCTAGTCTATAGTCTAGTCTAGTCTATAGTCTAGTCTAGTCTATAGTCTAGTCTAGTCTATAGTCTAGTCTAGTGTATAGTCCAGTCTATAGGCTAGTCTATAGTCTAGTCTATAGTCTAGTCTATAGTCCAGTCTATAGGCTAGTCTATAGTCTAGTCTATAGTCTAGTCTATAGTCTAGTCTATAGTCTAGTCTATAGTCTAGTCTAGTCTAGTCTATAGTCTAGTCTATAGTCCAGTCTATAGTCTAGTCTATAGTCTAGTCTATAGTCTAGTCTATAGTCTAGTCTATAGTCTAGTCTATAGTCTAGTCTATAGTCTAGTCTATAGTCTAGTCTATAGTCTAGTCTATAGTCTAGTCTATAGTCTAGTCTATAGTCTAGTCTATAGTCTAGTCTATAGTCTAGTCTATAGTCTAGTCTATAGTCTAGTCTCTAATCTATAGTCTAGTCTATAGTCTAGTCTATAGTCTAGTCTATAGTCTAGTCAATAGTCTAGTCTATAGTCTAGTCTAGTCTAGTCTATAGTCTAGTCTATAGTCTAGTCTATAGTCTAGTCTATAGTCCAGTCTATAGTCTAGTCTATAGTCTAGTCTATAGTCTAGTCTATAGTCTAGTCTATAGTCTAGTCTATAGTCTAGTCTATAGTCGTCTATAGTCTAGTCTATAGTCTAGTCTATAGTCTAGTCTAGTGCAGTCTATAGTCTAGTCTATAGTCCAGTCTATAGTCTAGTCTATAGTCTAGTCTATAGTCTTCTATAGTCTAGTCTATAGTCTAGTCTATAGTCTAGTCTATAGTCTAGTCTATAGTCTAGTCCATAGTCTAGTCTATAGTTTAGTCTATAGTCTAGTCTATAGTCTAGTCTATAGTCTAGTCTATAGTCTAGTCTATAGTCTAGTCTATAGTCTAGTCTATAGTCTATCTATAGTCAAGTGTATAGTCTAGTTATAGTCAGTTTATAGTCAGTCTAAAGTCTAGTCTGTAGCTTTAGTCTAGACTATAGTTTAGCCTATAGTGTAGTCTATAGTCTGATCTATAGCGTAGTCCGTAGTATAGTATATTTTAGTTTCTAGTCGGTGGTCTAGTTGTTCGTCTTGTCTACAATTTGCGTGGTAGATTAGACTGTAAACTCTTCTATTGTTTCCGCTAGAATCGTGACTAAAATCTCTTAAATTGTCTCGACTTTGCTTTAATTGATTTTCCGAAAATGGTTTAACCGAATCTTTGCTCATTTAACTTTAAATGTGTTACTTATGTCTTCATATTTCATATTAATGATAGTAAATTGAATTTGTTTTTGTTGTCTCTAAAGTGGCTTAAATATTCATTTCTTCTTTTTTTTCAATACATTTATGCATAAATTTATTAATAATAGCAAATTAAAATACCAAAAACTTAATGAAAAAAGTCATATAAAATACATACAACAACGAGACAAGACACATGTCACAAATTGTTGATGACAAAATCTATGTCAACCTACCGCGGGGCATCTTCATCATCAGCTAATGTTGCGTGCGTGCAATTTCACACTCACAACTGAAAATCATAACGAAAAATCAAATTCAAAATATTAGAGACCAAATAAAAAAAATATTTCTCATGATTTAATGAAATTTAAAATTAAAATTTGTCAAAAAGTCTTGTTTTTGTTTTCGTTGTGGTTCTGTTTTCTTTTGATTGTTGGCGCAAAAAACTGGCTGACTGCTTTAATGATGATTGTTGTCAGATTGGAGGTGGTACCCGAAAAAAGCAAATGGGTATTAGTAATCATATTAAGGCAGCTGTTGAATAAAATTTAAAGAAATTTTGATATAAAAAGCAAAGGGGGTTATTAAGGTTATTAAGTGCTCTACTTAAAGTGATTCCGATTTTGGGGAATATTATTAAAAAATTGAAATATTACAATTTAACTTCTAAGAAGTTATTTTGGAAGTACTTTGTTAGTTTGAATCGTCAATAAGAATACAACGGTTGGATTAGAATTATGGCAATTCTTGTAAGAAATATTAATATAAAGAAGGAGAACAAATACAAATACTATACACATTACAAGGAAGTGGTTTAAGTTTCAACTAAACTTCTAAGCTAAAATTTCTGTTGAAGAACTTTATATTTTTGCCCAAATGACCAACGTTTAGAATAACTTTATATACCACCTTTGATTGCAATCTCTTCAGAATCAGAAACATGACAAAAAAAAAAAGACATTCAATTAACATATGAAAGAAGTTTTTCGCATTTTAAAGATTAAAGATCAATTTTTTTTAAAAATTAAAACACAAGCAAAATAAATTTAAAACAGCAAAAAACTTCCGTATAATAAAATTCCAGTTTTGTTAAGAGTTTTATATTTTTTTTTGCTTCTAATTTTAAACTTACACAGGTTCTTAATTAGAGAATTTCACAAAAAAAATATAAATTAGCTTTAAGGCAAAATTGTTAGAAAAAAATTAATATTAAAAACAAAATTATTTGTTTGTGTAATAAATTAAATAATTTTTTTTATATTTTTGGGATATATAAAATCCTAATAAAAATTAGATACCAAAGAGAATATTGATTTTCAAAGAGTTTTAAAGAATTTATTTACATTTTTATTAAAATTTTCTTTAAGAGTTATTTTAAAATATTTTTAACATTTTCATTTACAATTTATTTAATTTTAACTGACGTGTTCTTTTGCTTAACTTACAAAATCTAAAAATATCTAAATATTGTCTTAAAACATTGTTTTTAAACATTTATTATTATCTTGTTTTGGGGTTTTTATTTTATTGTAAATTTTAATGTTGTTATTGTGTTAATAAATTTTGCAAACCAAAAAAAAAAAAACAAATGCATGAGAAGAAAAAATCTACAAAAACTTGTTTTTCAACTTGTAACATAAATTTGACTACTCTAACGAAACCACAAATTAAAAAACAGACAGACAGACAGCCGGACAGACAGATTGGCAAGTAAAATATTTGTATTTTGAAAAACACCCTACTAGCTAACAGCAAAGTAAGTTACACGAAAAGAAAAAAATTATAAAAAAATGTTCTTGCAGAACAAATGTCTATTCACGCTATAGTCTGGACTATAGACTATTCTGTAGTCTGAACTCTAGAGCATTATATAGTCTGGACTATAGACTATTCTACAGTCTAGAATATATATTATTCTACATTCTGCACTATAGACTATTTTATAGTCTAGACTATAGACTATTTTATAGTCTGGACTTTAGAGTATTCTTTAGTCTGGACTATAGACTATTCTATAGTCTGGACTATAGACTATTCTATAGTCTGGACTATAGACTATTCTATAGTCTGGACTATAGACTATTCTATAGTCTGGACTATAGACTATTCTATAGTCTGGACTATAGACTATTCTATAGTCTGGACTATAGACTATTCTATAGTCTGGTGTAAAAACAATTCTATAGTTTGGACTAAAGACCATTCTATAGTTTGAACTATTGACTATTCTATAGCCTGGACTATAGACTATTCTATAGTCCAGACTATAGACTATTCTATAGTCCAGACTATAGACTATTCTATAGTCCAGACTATAGACTATTCTATAGTCTAGACTATAGACTATTCTATAGTCCAGACTATAGACTATTCTATAGTTCAGACTATAGACTATTCTATAGTCCAGACTATAGACTATTCTATAGTCCAGACTATAGACTATTCTATAGTCCAGACTATAGACTATTCTATAGTCCAGACTATAGACTATTCTATAGTCCAGACTATAGACTATTCTATAGTCCAGACTATAGACTATTCTATAGTCCAGACTATAGACTATTCTATAGTCCAGACTATAGACTTTTCTATAGATTGGACTATAGACTATTCTATACTCTCGGCTATTGCCTATTCTATAGTCTGCTATATTCTATAGTCTGGATTATAAACTAAACTATAGTCTGTACTATAGACTAAATT